TTGAGCCTGGAGGTGACTGTTGCATGGATCACTGTGGCTAGATCAGGGTGAGAAAGGTAAGGAACCAGCTGATTAGCACGGTAAAGGTGGGAAAATGCCACCTTTGCATTTGCTGCACCCTGCGCCTCCATAGAGAGGGACGTGTCAAAGGTTATACCCAAACTCCTGATGGAAGGCACTGGCACTAATTGAGCCCTCGCAAGAGATGGGAGTTGGCCCCCAGATAGATCTTTGCTTGATGAAGGAATTAAAGAAAGTTCACATTCACTTCTGCAAGGACTGCTAGAATAATCTCTTTAGCAGCTTCCTCAGCTAAGGGGACATTTGATTACATAGAAAATACTTGTCATGCTTTTTTGAAACGTGTTGGGTTTTTTTTTGCACTTTCCAAAACAATATGCTATCCGAAACACAGCCATCCTTCAAAATGCACTTCTCCGAAATTTGCAGCGCCGTTCTCCAGCAATGCAATTTGTTCAAAAATGCATATATGAAAGTAAACTCCACACATCATTGTGTATACTAATGAAAATAACATACAAAAGTACATTTTATTAGGAAAAACTGTCAAAGATGTGCACATTGGGCAAAACTGTATATTAGGAGAAATTCACATGAAGATACTGATGAATTTTATTGAAGACTCTTTTTAAAAAATTGCACAGTGGCGTGGAAATGTGAATAATTTAAGATTTGAAAAATGTGAAACTGAGAGGAACCCAAACTGACAGATTTGCCTACCCCTAGTTGTAGGCGTGGGACTGCCCAGCTCCAGCCCAGTATTCCACCTCTGGCACCTGTGCTATGTTTGTTCTCATTTGTACTGACAGGAAAAATGTATTGGCTGGTATTATGGTTTTACATTCTCCTATTCTGACCAGGCGAGTAAAAATGTATGAGGTTGGGAAGCAGCGGGGCCTTCTCGGTTGTGACACAGCTGCTGTGGAATGCCATCCCCTGAGAAGACTGCCCAAGTCAAAGCCAGCAAATGCTAGGCCCGCATGCACAGACAAATAAAACATCCTTATTCCCAACAGACATTTTTAGGCCAAGGATTTGGGTGTAGATCTCTGAGTTCAGTTTGGCTTTTATCGTGGGGAATGTTCCTCGCAGTGAGCTTTGTATCGTTTTACCTGACGTTTGGCTGCATTTTTATGGTTGTTTTGACAGCTGCTTGGCCTTTCATTTGGAAGGAAGGGCAGGGAAGATATTTCGAAACTAAATACATTAAAACATATTTGTTCTAGACTTGAAGGAAGTCTAAATTATGTGGAGAAAAGGGTTTTGAAGCCATTGGCTCCCCCTTGTGGCCCAGAATTTGACAACAGTGAGCAGCAGAGACAGGCATGTGCTTCAAAAGCTAAATAAACATGTTATTGTTATAAATAATATCTATATTATTATTAATTTTTATTATATTTGCATTACACTATTAATTAATATTAATAATATGTGATGTTGCATTTTGTTTTCATTTGTTAGAAGCCGCCCAGAGAGTGTCTGGGCTAACCCAGACAGATGGGTGGCATATAAATAGTTGTTGTTGTTGTGGCTGTGATCCTAAGCACCTATATCCACAAGAAAATGCTACTGCAATAAACAGTTTTATTTCTAATAAAAGAATATTAGGTTAAGAATATTAGACTTGGAGGAGTCACTTCTGAATGTTGTTAATACAGAATACGTTACCAAAAGGTATTTGTAAGTCCTGTAGTTCTGGTCCCTAGTGAGGAAACACAAAAGGTCTGGAGGGTGGCAACATTAGACATGGGCCTTTTCCGCAGTGGCTGCCCATTTATGGAATTCTCTCCCCAGGGCGGTTCACTTGGCACCTTAATTATGCTGTACAGCTTTAGGCACCAGGCAAAAACAATCCTTTTTAAGCACGTTCCTATTGACCGTACATGTTTCTTTGATAGATTTAGTGTTTTTAGGATTTTGTGAGCTGCTTATGATTTGTGGTTTCAATTGTTGTAGAACACTTTTTGAACACTATAGTAGGAAAGCATGTTATAAATAACACATAATAAGTAGTTTATTATTAAGATGGTTTACTGATCTTCATTTGAGGGGCGGATGGGGCTCGTTAACCTGGGAAGGTAGCTCCATCTAGGACAACTCAGACCATAAACCTCTGCTGCCTTGCGGGATATCCTTGGGAGATGAAAAGGCTAAGGAGTTGACCCTACACAAATCTGGAGTAGAGTCCCCCGAGGGTAGGATGGCAGCTTGTACGCCTCCTTCCGGCAACTCCTGCAGCCAAGCTGGTGCCAAACATATTGCTCTGCTTTCCTTTGGAGCACATCAGCAAGGCCGAGAGAGGGATCTTGTCATCTGGGCAGCCCAGGACCTCCACACACACTGCCCAGGCGTGCGCCCCAGGGGGTCACTTCAGTGCTACCACCTTGGTTTGACTTCACCCCTAGAGGTGCACTCCATTGTCTTTTGAGACAGACACATGCCAACAACTACCCAAGTGGAGGGCCAGGAGCATGGGCTAGGCCGGAGGGTCACTTGTTTGGGCCATAAGCCGATGGCCTCCAGTTCCTGGAGTTAGGAAGAGTTACACCTAATATGGCTAATCACTTGAAATTTGTCACTTAGTGTTGAGGCCCAACAGGAACCTCAAGTGTTTTTGCCCTGGCTGGAAGGTTTCCTTGAACTCAGATAATGCTCCTCGCTTCCCTGGTTCGAAGATAGAGAGGGGAGTGCCAGTGCAGAAACTAGCTGACCATACAAAGATGGTTGCTTGGTCCCTGCTCCTGCCAACCTAGCAGTTTGAAAACACATCAAAGTGCAAGTAGATAATTAGGTACCGCTCCAGTGGGAAGGTAAACGGAGTTTCTGTGCGCTGCTCTGGTTCACCAGGAGCAGCTTAGTCCTGCTGGCCACATGACCTGGAATCTGTACACCGGCTCCCTCGGCCAATAAAGCGAGAAGAGCGCCACAACCCCAGAGTCAGCCATGACTGGACCGACTGGTCAAGGGTCCCTTTACCTTTACCTTACAAAGATAGAATTCACATTTATTGCTCTTTACACTTTTAACTCTGGCCCACCCCGCCAGCATGCAGTCCTCTAGCTGAAATATTTCCCTACCTGCTGCTCAGAGTCCTATTAGTGATTTTTATAAGAAATATTGTGCTAACTTAAGTCTGGATTCTGAGGCGAAAAAAAACCTGATGGTGCTCCCTCCTCCTCCTCCACAAGACAGAAAATTGCACACAAGAAGCCGTTTGTAGAAACCATTTATTTTTAAGTTATTTCCAAAAATGAGTTCGTTCTTGCTTCTTTAGGAGGTTCAGAGTCTCAAATGTGGATCCAAAAGAGGAAAAGAAGAAATGCAGCTAACGTTTTTTTTGTGGGGGTGGGTGGGAGGGGTGCGTCGGGGCAGGAATACACTTTCCTCTTTCCTTCACTAAGGGTCAACAAAGAGAGAACCTGAAGCCTATAATGGGACACGGGTCTTCTCCTAGATTCCAACCGTTGTGGGGTTATTTGTGAGGCAGAGCTAAGTTCAAGCTCAAAATGTCCCTCCCTGCTCACAAAAGGCAGCAGGGCTGGGCACACCCCAGTTCCTCCCTGTTCATCTCCAAAGATCTGCTTTCTTAGGCTGCAATCCTAAATGCACTTACTGAGGAGTAAAAGCCCTATTTAACATAGATCAAGATGCCTTTGTCTTCCTCTCCAGCATTTAATCCAGGCTGGTTGTACTGATTTTCTGCTGAAACCTCTTGAAAACAGCCACTTATATAAGGCTGTAAAACAGCCCCCGTCCCCTAAGAAGGAAACCTTGCCCCCCTTGATTTCCAAGAAGGAAAGGGAAGGAGGAAATAGAAGTGCCTAGCAAAAAGTGCTCTGGAGGGGAAAAGTTACACAGCCAGCCCTGCTGTTAGGCAGCGTGACACAACTGCCTCAGGTGGCGGATAAAGAGGGGTGGGGAGCAGGCAGCGCTGTATGCCGCATGCCCAAGCTAACCTGCTGCCCTCAGGCATGCAGGATGCTGTCCTGTTGCCAGTGCTGAAGCAAGATGCAACCTCCAGGCTAACTGGCATGGGAGGCGGCGACCTTGTCTCTTGCCTCGGGCAGCAAAGTGTCTTGGGCCAGCCCTGGAAAAGTACCACTGATGACAAGGAAGGATCACTCCTGCTTCAGGCTCTTTTAAAAATCAGATTTATTAGTTGGAATCTTTCCAAAAGGGAGGGGAGCTGGAAGGAAAGAGAAACTGTTATTGGGAATTTGCCAGATTTCATCCAGAACCAGGCTCTGTGGGGGAATCAGGGAAGGTGCTGTTTTCCCTAGTGCTACAACCAGAGAAGCAGAGCTTGCCCAAATTCTCTCCCTTTTGCACATGGAACGCTCAGAAAGCAAAGGCGCCTTGTACCACGCAGACACCCAGCCGTCCTTTGGCTCCACAGCATGCAAAGTCACCCTTCACGGCCCTCTCATGGTGTGGACCCACTGATTCAACTCGCTGTGTGTGGCAAAGCAGTCAGATAGGAGGACAGAACTAGCTGGAGAGGCAGGGAGGAAGGCTTCTGTCACATGATTCAGGAAATGGACAGTAGTGTTCTAGCTGCTGCAGGTAGCGAGGGAGACTCCCCCCCCCACCTCCCCACAGGTTTTAAGTGCTCCCTGTAAATGCTACATGGAGGCAAAATCTAGAGTTAGAGAAGCGGAGCCGAACCTGGCCGCACAAATGTCCCAAACAGTTGCCCCAAATTTTGGGCGACAGGAAAGTAGCACATGATCAGAGATGGGTGTGTGGGCGTCCCTGTCCCAGAATCCTTTGCAACGTGATCCAACAAGGCTGGCTGTCCACTGCTGCACCACAAGGAGCTCTGAGGCACTTGTGTCTCTGACCAGGTGGGGCAGCCACACCGAGCGGCAACCTTTCTCCGTTCTGCTCTGCGTGGAAAGGACTCGGGCGGCCAGATCCTGTGATCATCGTCCCACTCACCCATCCAAAGGTTCCTCTCCTAACCCCCTAACATCCAAATTTCAGATTGTTACATGGATGGGGCTCTGGAGGTCGTCATCAAGGTTCTCCATGTCAGGCATGTTTGGCAGGTCCGCTCCCCCGTTGGACTCTCTCAAGTGGATCCTCTGGTGGTAGATCATGCTGTGCCTTCGCCGGAACCTCACCCCACACTCCCCACACTGGTACGGTCTCTCCCCGGTGTGGATTCTCAGGTGGCGCGTCAAGTGAGACTGCCGGCCGAACCTTTTCCCGCACTCGACGCACGGGTAGGGCCTCTCCCCGGTGTGCGTGATCCGGTGGCGGGTCAGGTGAGACTGCCGGGTGAACGTTTTCCCGCACTCGGCGCAGGGGTAGACCTTGCTCCCCAGGTGGGTCTTCTGGTGCCTGGTGAGCCCGTACAGGTCGTGGAATATCTTCCCGCACTCCATGCACTGGTAGGACTCCTTCTCGGTGTGGGTTCGCTGGTGGGCAGCCAGCTCCGACGGCCAGATGAACCCTTTGCCACACTCGGTGCAGAAATAGCGCTTCTCCCCCGTGTGGATTCTCTGGTGCGTGGCAAGTTCGGACGGCCACCGGAACGCTTTGCCGCACTCCCCGCAGACGTGGCGCTTCTCGGCCACGTGGCTTCCCAGGTAGGCGCCCAGAGGGGGCAACTGCCCGTTGCCGTTCCTGCAGTCGGCGGCCAGCGGGGAGTTGTCACCGGTGTGCATTCTCTGATGCGCCGCCAGCTCCGACGGCCACTGGAACCCTTTCCCGCACTCGGCGCAGAGGTAGTGTTTGTTTTTGTTGTGGGTTTTCTGGTGCGTGGCCAGCTCCGATGGCCACCGGAACCCTTTCCCGCACTCAGGGCAGAGGTGGGGTTTCTTGACGGTGTGCGGCTTGGCGCAGTCGGCAGCCGGAGGGGTCTTCTCGCCTGTGAAAAGGCTCTGGTGCATCGTGAATTCCGGCGGCCACTGGAACAGCGCCTCGGAGTCCACGGCGTAGTGTGGCTGTTCGCCTGCATGGATCCTCTGGTGGATGGCGAGCTCCGTCGACCACCGGAACCTCTTGCCGCACTCCGTGCAAAGATGGCACTCCTCACCCATGTGCGTCTTCTGGTGCCTGGTGAGGTGCGAGGAACGGCCAAACTGCTTCCCGCACTCGGCACAGTGGTAGGACTTTGGCCTGGTGTGAACTTTCTGGTGCAAGGCCAGCTCGGATTGGCACCGGAACCGCTTCCCGCACTCAATGCAGGGATGGCGTTTCTCTCTCACTCGGATCCGCTTTGGGTTCAGGTGTTGCACCATCCCGTTGAGCCTTTCTCCAAATTCAAACTGGGGTCTGCTCTGCTGGGACTCCGGGCCCCTGGTTTGGGTGGTTGAGGGGGGGGAAGACAAGAGAAAATTCACAAATTTCATAGGTATGAATTCTAGAGCTGTCACTCAATTAAAGCAACGATAGTTGATCAATGCATGTGTTTTAGATAGAGGTTTAAGCCCTGCAGTTCTGTTCACTATTATCTGGCAGCAAGTCCCACTGAATACCATCGCACCTTGGTTCGTAATCCATTCCGGAACATTCAAAAACCAAAGCGCGGCTTCCAATTGGCTGCAGGGGCTTCCTGCACTCAATCGGATGCCGCGGAAGCAATGTCGGATGTTCGGGTTCCAAAGAACGTTTGCAAACCGGAACATTTACTTCCGGGTTTGGGGTGCTCGGGAGCCAAAACGTACACGTACCAAGGCGTTCGAAAACCAAGGTACGACTGTACAGCGGGATTTACTTCAGAGCAAACATGAATAAGATTGCCCTGTAACTGGATTAAGTCAGCATACAAAAAAGAGGAAAAAAGAGGATAGATAAATAATGCTCATTGCTTCAACATGATTTGTGTGTTTTTCACAGCAAGCACCACCTTGGAAGAGACGTTTCCCCTTCTCTCTCCAACATTAGAAAATGCATCTTCTAAGATGCTGCTTGCCACCTGCAAGACCCACCTGAGCCTCCTTCATCGGCTGAAGAATCCCACGTTGCTTCGGTGTCAGAAGAACCTGTGCAGGGAAAGAAACGAGTCAGGTCCGACTGTGACATGCCCTCCGTCACACGCATCCACACAGTATAACAGGATGTTTTAGACAGAGTACTGATATGCCTTCATCTGGATACGTTTAACTCCATCCCACAAGTGCCCCAGAACTACAAAAGAAATTCATTGAAACAGGTCTACAGTACAGACTGACAACTGGAGAGGATCTCTAATGCACCTGAGGCAAGGGACCTTGAGAACTGTGTTCGTCTGTATGGCCGTGAAAAGTAGAGATATCCCATTTTATCACTACCCTAAGGAGTCTCAAAGCGGCTAACAATCTCCTTTCCCTTCCTCCCCCACAACAAACACTCTGTGAGGTGAGTGGGGCTGAGAGACTTCAGAGAAGTGTGACTAGCCCAAGGTCACCCAGCAGCTGCATGTGGAGGAGCGGGGAAGCGAACCCGGTTCACCAGATTACAAGTCTACCGCTCTTAACCACTACACCACACTGGCTCTCACTTTCAAGTAGAAAGTGTACTACATGTGTTACTACTGTGTCATTTTTACAGAAACAAAAAGACCCAGACTTATTTGTCCCTAGGTTGTTTCCTTCCCAGAAAGGTCTTCAAGTGTTATATAATACAATCTTTCTGGCTGTAGATACACAGCCTCATAGAAGTGAATCAGTTGCAAAATGTGCAAAAGCTATAGAGATCCATATGCAGCTTTCCAATAATTGCTGTGGGGTACTGCTTTCAATGTTGACGTTTGTTTAAACATTTAGCACTGAAAAGTGTACTGTTAGCATTCTTTCTCGTATCTTTTCTGTTGTATAGAATCATATATTTTTTTTTGGAATTTGAAGGTCTGTGGGCAATTAAAAAAACTTTACTGGAGTTCAATTAAGGCCCAAAGACCTAGATCCCAAGTAGGAAGGTCTAACAACAAACCTGCTCAAACCAGAAACTCACTTCAAACTACATTTTCCAGTTCTGGCAGGCAGCAGCCCAATGGTTTGCACAAACCGGTTTGGATGATTTGGGTGACACAGCAAAGTGGTTTGTACGAAACTAGAGAGTGAAATTAAACTCACAAAGGAAGGAGGGAGGAGACTTATGTCTGATAATCCAAGCCATAGTTTAGAGGATAATCTCAACCATTTGGGTGTGATGCTAGCCATCACCCTAACCTTGAAAGTAGGGTGAGAATAAATGTTTAGCTCAAGGGTGAGGAGTTTGTGGCTTTCAAGAAGTTGTGAACTCCCATCAGCCCCAGCCAGCAAGGTCAGCAGTCGGGTATAATGAATAGTCAGGTATGATGGGAGCTGCAGTTCAACAACACCCTTGGCATACATAACAGATAAAGGCATTTGTGTACCGAAGAGAAGTAGGTCAAGGAGCTAAGCCAGGCTTCCTCAACCTCGGCCCTCCAGATGTTTTTGGCCTACAACTCCCATGATTCCTAGCTAGCAGGACCAGTGGTCAGGGATGATGGGAATTGCAGTCTCAAAACATCTGGAGGGCCGAGGCTGAGGAAGCCTGAGCTAAGAACAGGGAAGCGAGGATTCTTACCCAGCAAACAGATATCCACATCACCCCTCTGCTCGGCCTCCATGCATGCATCTCCCTGCTCGGCATCTGACAAGGCTTGGTCATCATCGGGGAAATTCACAACCACCTCCTCAAATAGGTCTGAATCCTGAAATAAGCAGAGAGACACATTCGACAAAAAGATCGATCAAAGACTGTTTAATGTTAAACTAGCTAAACAAATGAACGGACAAAAAAGTAGGGCTTTTAGCATGGCTGCCTCTGTTCTGTGAAATAGCATTCCTGTCCACGTAAGACAGGTGCTCACTAGCGGCACTTTCCAGAAACACCTGAAGACATCTTTGTTCGGACGGGCTTTCCCAGCTGGCTAAATGGGTCTTTGCCACAAGTGTCTATTTTGTATGGTTTTAAATTCACCATTTTTAATGATCTATAAGTGTATATCACCTTGAGATGATTGTTTAGAAAGTGGTTAACAAATCAGTACAGTCGTACCTTAGAAGTCAAATGGAATCCGCTCCGGAAGTCCATTCGACTCCCAAAATGTTCAAAAACCAAAGCACGGCTTCCAGTTGGCTTCAGGAAGCTCCTGCAGCGAATCGGAAGCCCCATCGGACATTCGGCTTCCAAAAATAGTTTGCAAACCGGAACAGTCACTTCCGTGTTTGCGGCATTCGGGAGCCAAAAGGTTCGAGAACTAAGCTGTTCGAAAACCAAGGTACGACTGTAATATTAATTGTTTTGGAGGGGCGGGGGGGAGAAGGAAAGCAACTAAATCCAGCTGCCATCCCATGTACTACAATTTGGCTTTAATAATGTCTTTAGCTCTGCCTTGATTTATTAAGAGCTGCACGAAAAGCAGAACTCTATGGTACAGTTCTTACTAGACTGTACCATTTTACACTGCAAGCAGGGGGATACCCCAGATTATTTGTGCTTTTACCTTGTATTTTTATGCTGTGAACTGCCCTGATATCTATAGATGAAGGGTGGTATACAAATTTTAATAATTTTAATAATAATAATAATAATAATAATAATGTACAGAGAAGAGCAGGAGTAGGCATTTCACTCAGATATGAATTCCCCTACCAGCAGTCTAAAGATTAACAACCCAGCAAATTGTAACATGTGATTCTGCTGATAGCATAGCTTGGCTGCAATTCCACCCTTATGCGCTCTTTTGGAAATGTAGATTTTATAAGTGCTCTTCTAGCATGCGCCAAGGCAGCTTCATTAGGATGGTTTTTAAGAGACAATAGGACAGCCACTCCATGAACCAATATTCCTCAGCCTAGAGTTGAACGCGATACATCGCCCTCAAGGTGGCTCACAAAACAAGATTAGCACGATAAATATACACACAGAGAACACAAAGAACAAGCCAGAATTGAGATCCTGGAATTTTTGCTAGGGCTAACATATGCTATGTTAAAGTCCATATTCTGCATTTCATTGCCATGCAGATTCCAGAACTCTGGAAGGGTGGAGGAAAAGGCTGGGGCTTCTTTGCTTCATATCCTAAGAATTGGAAGGCAAAACTCTGCCTATTGTGTGCTCTCCATCTGCTTCTTGATTTCCTGCAGGAAAGCTGCACACACAAACACAGAATTATGCCAGTTGTGCCCTTCTGTCAAATCACACAAATGACTGGTGTAAATCCATCATTTCTGATGCAGAGTCACAATTCCTGACTGCAAGGGGGGGGGAGGGCTCTCTTAGCAAATAGCTCTTTTCTTTCCCCCCAATATGCTTCAGCCTGGGAGAGGAGACATCTTGCCCACAGTGTTGGCTTGTGAAGAATGGCAGATGGCCAGCTACTAGGAGGAAACCCTTTGTTTCTGGGCTGCAGGACTACAACTCCCAAAAGCCTTTGTGTGGATTTCGGTGAATCTGCTGTGAGCGGCAGGTGCAAAAGTCCTCTGGGGTTTGTAGGCAGCCATAACAGTGTTTGTAGGAGACCAGGAGGACTGAAGAGGGAAAGCTGGGAATAAGAGATAAGAGGCGCAGCTCTGAATTGAGAGCTGGGTTTGTAGAGGCTGCCTTCAGGTCCTGAAAATAAGAGGAGTCTTAATGGCCAGAGGAAGGAATAAAGAGACGTGAGACTTCAGAGATGATTCAATATATTTTGGTGCCTCACGCACAAAGCTCAAGCTGGAAAACTATAAAAATAAACAAAACTATTGACTATTTGTTCTCTTTAGTGTCACCCAGCAACACGCATTTTCCAGAAAAATTAAAAAGGGGGGGATATCTTCCTTTGTAAATTAGGGCAATTTGTGTTGGAGAATTTCCAGTTTCCATCAGAAAATTTCCTGATACCCTAGAGAGCAATCTAATTTAGCATGTTTATTTGACTTGTGTTTGGTAAACAAAGCTATATATATATATTTAAAAAACCCTTCTAAACAGCCATGCTTGCAAATATTTATTTGCAACTGGCACCCATTCACTGTTTACAAATCAACTTGCAAAATGGGGAGGGGGGAATTCCCTGGAAAAATTGCCTCTCCAAATACCTGATGGTAGCCCCAAAAGTCACCACTCCTTAAGGTAAACTGCCCTGCATAGCCAAATGGGGGAGGGACACTAAGGAGGGAGGCAGAAGACGGCCGCATTTTATGTTAACAAGAGCAGGACAAACATAGTGCTGCCATTCACACCCTTTGACCTTGATTCCATACTCCTGGAATCCCAGTTATTTGCGATTACTCTGCTGTTAAGGAACACATCTGCTGGGTGCCTCAGAAAGCAGCAGTCCCTCTCCCTACAAAATATCTCCATCCTCTGCAATGCCTAATATAATGTAATGTCCACAGAAGGCTTGTGTTGTGACATCAACACTGTTTGAATTTGGCCTGTTCTGGTTCCACTTTGCTGGCTGCTACTTAGGGGCGAGTGGGAATACTTGGAACAACGTGATGTCATATCTGCCATTTTGTATTGCTAGGCAGTATCAGGAGAAGTAGAGAGACAAGACACAAGGGCTGCTGTTATTGGAGGTAACCAGGACTCCTCTGTAACGACTAGTTCTGAGAAGGCTAAAAATTCGACAATTGCACCAGCCAAGGCCAAAAATATGGAACATATCGTGTGTTATGTGAAATAATGAAAACAGAGCTTTTTTTTAAAAAAGAAGCATAATAATAATAATAGCAATGAAAAGCTTAGTGGAAGAGCTCCCTGGCATCTTGATTGAAAAAAAAACAAACCTCATAGCAGGTGATGCAGAAGAGACCTGTCACCTGAGACCCCAGAGAGCCTCTGCTAAGTCAGAGGTGACAATACTGGGCTACGGTGACAAATATTCTGGCCACGGTGCATAACAGTTTCTTACGTCCCAAACCATCTCCACATTTTAATTACACCAAAGGGCAGAAATTAAAGCAACCAAGCTATGGCTCTGTTTCAATTACGTTTTGATGCAGCTAATGCGGAAGAAGGCACTGCCTTGGCAATTTTACTGTGCAATCCTATACAACAGGATTGGGGCAACTGTGGCAGGGGGCGTCATGAGGACGTCAAGCGACTGATAGGCGTGTGGCTCCCCACCTGTCAAAGCTGACCTATGGGTTGAAGGGAGGGGTCTGCTTCACCTGTGCATTCCCTGCAGAGAATATGCTGGAGAAAACAGCAGGATAGAACCATGCCCCCTGCCTATCAGCTGACATCACCCAGGTGGGAGGAAATGGCCTCATTGGCCAGTGGCCTGGAGGTTCCCCACACCCGCTAAACGTGTCTGCTCAACCTCACTGAATTCGAATAGGGATCCCTAAATTTATTTATAAGCATTTCTAAACTGCTTAATATTTAAAAATCTCTAGGCAGTATGCAAATACAAAACATTAAAAAACAGTATCCAGAAAATACAGATGCTACATAAAAAGCTGTAAAACTGTAGTATTATAAGAACAGGAATTTGGTCATAGGAAGATCCAATCCGATGGGTCAGAGAAAGCCTGAGCAAAAAAGGCACATCTTCTTTACAAGACACCTGAAGCAGACGACAGGTGATGCCTCACAAATGGCAGAGGGAAGGATATTCCCCAGTGCAGGGGCAATGGTTGAAAAAGCTCATTTTCAGGTCACTACCCTGTGATCTTTCATAAGGTGAATATAGAATTACAGACTTAGAATCTGAAGGCCTGGATCCTGGGCATTATCAGGGCCTCATCCTGTATGAACCTATCCAAAGTCTTAAGTTCAGCTGACAAAATGCTGCCGATGGGTCCAAATTATCCAGAAACTAAACTAGTTTACCCACAAGGCAGAGGTTTTTTTGGTGACTGATCCAAAACGCCCTTCCACAGGCTAAATGTTTTACTCCTTCCTCCCTCCTGGCATTCCAGAAGTAAATAAAAGCTTTGGGGACTTTGCTGTGCTTTGGGGACTTAGCACAAAATACATACTCCCATTGTTTGATTGTTTTATTATAGGAGCTTTCAGCCCAAATACTGAGGTCCAGCTCCGAGGGCCTTCTGGTGGTTCCCTCACTGTGAGACATGAAGTTAAAGGAAAACAGGCAGACGGCCTTCTTGGTGGTGGCATCTGCTCTGCGGAATGCCATCCCGTCAGATGTCAAGGAAATAAATACTATACAACTTTTAGAAGACATCTGAAGGCAGCTCTTTATAAGAAAGTTTTTAATGTTTAATGCTTTATTATGTTTTTATATTCGCTGGAAGCCACACAGAGTAGCTGGGGCAACCTGTTCAGATAGGCAGGGTACAAATAATAAAATTGTTGTTGTTTTAAGTAGTTTTATACTATTTATATCTTTTTTAAAATGTTTGCGAGGCTGATTGTACACGATTTTGAGAGCCTTAGCTGTAAAACAAATATGTCATCTTTAAACAGATATATTATCTTACGCAAACTGCTGAGGTTTTTCTTATCAAGTGCTATATAAATCTTTTTGTATAAATAAACAAAATAACCATTAGCTACAGCAATAACAACATTGTAAAGGCAGCCCATGCCCCAAGGACAAAATATGCCCATCACACCTGCCCCCCATCTGTTGCTAGCACCCCACCACCATTTCCTTCCCATCTCCGCCATAGTTATGGGCCTATCTCAGCAGGTCAGCCCTCACAAAGAAACTTGTCCCATCCGCAAGCCACAAGATTGTCCTTGGGGGTGGCGTATGGGATGAGAAAGGGGGTGGGGGACGAAAAGCATCTCACCTCCTCTTCTGCTCTCTCTGCCTCTTGCTGCTTCGACAGGAACTCCTCTGCCAGGGCCACGGCCCGTGCGCAAGTGTCCGGGCTGCATTCCCACACGCGGCTCCGAATCCCCGGAGGGAGGACCGCCAGGAACTGCTCCAGGATCAAGACATCCAGAATCTGCTCCTTGGTGCGGTTCTTCGGCTTTAGCCAATGGTTGCAAAGCTCCCAGAGCTGACCGCAAGCCTTCCGTGGCCCCTCCGTCTCTTGGTAGCAGAACTGCCGGAAACGCCGGCGGGCCGTCTCTAGGGTGAAGCCACCCACTCCCGAGGTGGACGTCCGCGTCTTCCCGATGCTCCCTCGGTCTGCGTTGCCTGGGGTACTGGGCTGGGTTTCTTGCTGGCTCTCCTCTGCGTATGGAGCTGTCCATGGAGAGGAGGCAGGGTTCTCTGCTGGCTCTAATGCTGTAGTAGAGAAGGCCCCTGACTCAATATTTACGGGTGCTGCCTCAGTCGCTGGGGAAGCATCTTGCGTTGGTGGTGGTGGTGGCTGCACAGTTGCAGGAGGCGGAGCTCGTGGGGTCTGAGACACCTCCTCCCACTGGACTTCCCAGCGCTGAGGTTGTGGGGCTTCTTCTAGGACCTCCGGCTCAGCAGCGGGTGGCACTTCCAAGCCCAGAAGTTCCTCCACAGTCCCAGTGCACACCACAAGTAGGGAGTCATCTCCTTCCTCTGCTCCCACAGCCTCTCGTACAGGCCCCGTTGGATTCTCCTCATCCTCATCTTCTTCCTCCTCCTCTCCTCCTTCTTCCTCTTCCTCATCCTCTTCTTCTTCTTCTTCTTCCTCCTCCTCTTCTTCTCCCTCTACTTCTTCCTCTTCCTCCTCCTGCTCTTCCTCTCCTTCTGCTTCCACCACGACTTCCGCCTCCGCTTCCGGCTCCTCCTCCTCTTCTTCCTCCTCCTCCTCGATTGTGATTTCCGGATAGACCCCCTGCTCAAGCAGCACTTTAAAATGGAGATCCAGCTCTCCCGATCCCTGCTCGGGCTCCATTTTGTCTTCCAAAAGGTAGACCGACTTCTCCCAGTTGTAGACGGAGGTCTGGCCACCGAGGCCCCAAGTCTCACACGCAAACATGGCGGGAAACTAGGAAGTGTTTACAGGGGCGTTGTCTCCCTGAAAGTGGGTGGGGGAAGAAAAAAAGGAAGGCTATCACCCAGTTTTAAGAAACCTGAGCCATTTAATCAATTGAAAGTCATTTTCCTGAATTGGTTATATGAATAAGAGCAAGAGTTCTGAAGAAAAACAAAATACTTTTGTTTTTAGGTGATGCAATGCACATGCCAGGGGGGGCATCTCAGGTTAAACATTCCCTTCTGTGTGTGAGGGAAGAGGGAACACCTCTTCTAAGAAGGTACCAGCTGCCCAGTTTTTGTATTTATAATTATATAGTTTTGCATATAATAATAATAATCTGCCACTTCACTAATGCGGGCTGCTTCAAAACATATAACTGATTAATGAAACTGATTCATGAATGAAACATTGCAGTCCATTAAAAAGGGAGGGGGGACAGAGGAAGGGGGGAAGTTGAGGGGGAAAACAGCCGGTGTTGAGGAACATCTTCCTTACACAGCCACCCCTAACTCCACTGCAAAAGCCCAGGGAGAAATTGTTAGGATGGCCATCAGTAAAATCTCCTTCCAGTTTGATTCCAGAAGAGAGATACACAGCCACTGTCTCTCTGCTTCACTCATGGCTCTCTCCCTCTGAGCCATCCTGCACATTTAGAATCTTCACCCAGCCCACATACTGCAACTCTTCAAGAGGCAGGTAGGAAATCATACTATGGAGTGATTCCCCAAGGCCAAAAACACCATGTCCCTGGATACTGGATGTTAGACAGAAGAGTTATTATAGCCCAGCCTTCTCTGTTCCGTTCCTAGGGAATTTCTTATTACGGTGCGCATTCAAACATGCAACACCTCACCCCCCAGCATTCCACAATGGGACAGCCTTCGCAGGGTCTGTTTTTCTGAACATGTAGATCAGGTTCTGTGTCTTCTGGCCATATGGATAAGAGAACGGCAAGTACATCTACTACAACACAACACAATGTATTTTCCCAGCTTGGAAATACGGTGCAGCACTCTAGAGGCTAGAGCAAGGCCAGGAAGTGCCATTCTTTTGCCATTTAGCTACTTGCCCAACGAAAGCAGCAGACTTCATGGCTCTGCTGCTGCTGCTTCTCTCTCTCTCTCTCTCTCTCTCTCTCTCTCTCTCCCCTTTTCAGAGGCTCAAGTTCCCATTTGTTTGTACAGTGCCATACTCAGTGCTGATAGGGTGGTACAAAGAATGATAATAATTTACCAAGGCCACTTATTAAGCCAATATAGCACAGTGGCTGGAATGTCTGCACTCCATTAAACATTAAAATTTCAGAGTACTGGGTTTGACCTGAGGTGATTTCCCCCGATTTTCAAAATTATGCAAAATTTATTTGCAGTTCTGTTTTAAGTCGTCGGTCACATATGATCACACAGACCCCATTTGGTGTGACTTAGCATTACATCCAAACCTAGGGCTCATGGTTTGTCTTGCTCCAAAAAGCTGTAGCCAAAGGTCTGTTATTGGCTTACTGGCCCATGGTTAGTCTGGAGCAGGCTTCCTCAAACTCAGCCCTACAGATGTTTTGAGACTACAATTCCCATCATCCCTGACCACTGGTCCTGCTAGCTAGGGATCATGGGAGTTGCAGGCCAAAAACATCTGGAGGGCGAGTTTGAGAAAGCCTGGTCTGGGGGGACTGGGGTTTATTGTAACAGTAAGCCAAACCATGGCTTAGCTCTGTATAGTGCAGGAGGAGGAGGAGGACCACTGGAAGAGAGACATGGCCACTATTTCTCCTCCAAGTACCTGCACACTCATTCATTCATGTTTAGCCATGGTTTGGCTTACTGTTACAAGCAAATGAGGCCACGGATGAACTCTCCCCCACCACCACACACTTCTACTCCCCTTAGGATGGTGACACCTGTTGACATTTGGTAACTACCTCAAATACAAACGCCTCCATCATCCTTCAGCATTAAGAATATTCACAAATATTCCCTCCTATTAACTATGACGCACCTCTGCATGTGGTCAGTCTCACAGCTCAATAAACTAAGCAAATGTAAGCAGCAACAGTAAGTTGTACAGAAATGTAGGAACTTTATACTAGCAATCGATACATTGTGCTTACAGATGACTATGTACCAAATTCTAACTTCCAAAAAAGCAACAAAAATGGAAACTTTCCACATTTACAATTAGCTAAAGGACAAGTACTAGGAAATGTTCCCACCCTCTCACCATACTTTTTCATTTTAACAAATGCAATCTTTCAAAGTATTGTTCATCCTCAGGTGTATAAGCTAGGCGCCAAATGGCTCCTTAAACCAAGGCTACAGCCATCAAAACAGAATGTCTACTTGCCATTTGGGGGCAAGATGGATCTAAAGTCTTATTTTTTTCAAATGACTGTCTGACTGTGATTATCAGTTAAACATCTGACTAGTTCAGATGAAAACCTTGAGTTAGGTTAAGAACTCTGAGAACTTAAAGAAGAAAAGTCGTTTTATCCAGGGACAGTCCACATATATATTGCCCTTTTCCTAATTCTTTTTCTCAGTGGTGACAGGGACCATTCATAACATAAGAATATTATTCACAACCGTGAGCAGGGCAGTGGGGTGGGGTAAGTGAGGACAAGATACAATTAACTATAACACTGTTCTGTGCTCTTGCACAGGCTGCACAGAAAAAGCATTTTGGTTCCTGAAATTCATTCTGATTGTGTTGCAAGTGGCCAATAGCAAAATGTGCCTGGTGCCTGGCTAATTTCAAACACTGTTCATCAACATATTTTGATCAAACCTCACACGGCCAACTTCAAGTGATTATTAATTTGATAAAACAGGTTTTTTGTACTCCAAAATTGGTATGGTGGCATATGCACCCTTTCAATTAAAGTAACTCTATATTCAACACTGGAGATTCCCTTCCCTCAATATTTCTTTAAAAAGATTCACCTAGATCATGCATGTTCAACCGGTTGATCGAGATCTACTGAGCGACCAAGGGTTGTCTGTGGTTGACCATGGTTGACTGAGCGATCTACCCCCCCCCCAAAAAAACTCAACAACTCTGGCCAATCCAATGGGTAGATCACTGCCAGTTTATTTATAGTGGGAGTAGATCACAGTCTCTTGGAAGCTGGACGTGTCTGACCTAGATGTTTCCAAATCTGCCCGCCCCCCCTAAAAATTTCAAAACATGAACAGGAGCAAGACCAGCACTAATAATCTTTTGGAAAACAAAGCACATGTTACAAAAGGAGCACCTTTCATATGCACATTTGGACGTACAAATTTCTACATAAAGGGATTTCAATCTTAAAAACAGAAATAGACACTCATCCTTCCAATGGGTATCAACTGCAAAATTCACACCGACAAATCTTCGCAGCAGACTAAGAAATGAGTCAAAGTATTGGAACCACTGGGAAGAATCAAAATTAGCTTCAAAGACTTTTCACCTGGGAGTTATAATAGCAGACTTGAAGCACAAATATTTAGAGTTAACTCTATGCCCAAAAGATTCCCAAACTGCACTGCAAGTCATCCAAGCAGTCTCTGCATGTCTGGGCCACTGGAAGCCACAGATTGGCAGCAGAAGTGGGGGGGGCAGCGAGGGGAGGAGCCAGGGCCGCTTGGGGGAAATGAGTATGTTTACTAATGGTGAGAACATAGTTGATCTACTACCACCTCCCTGCTCACTTTAACAGAAGGACTTAGACCAGACATTCAATTATTTGTTCACTATTAGGGCGAAGCACTTGATTGATCTGTTAATTAATTAATTGGCAAAAGGATTACTGTGCTAACACCAAAAGGGGAAGGGAGCTGAAGTGGTGATTCAGCCTCCTTGTCATTTTTGTTAGGTTGCTTCCACTAAACAGGAAGCACCCACCTCTTCCCAAAGACCAGGGTAAGGCAATCAGCCACCCACACCCCTATACAAAGTGGGGTGCACTCCGCTCCCCACCATCAGATGCAGAGACACAGCCCCCCACCTCCATCTTTCTAACTGTAAACCTCCTTCTTTCCCAGATGGCTCAACTTTCCACCTCTCCCCCCTCCCCACCAGCCACCCACATCTTAGCTTCCTGTCCTCTTTCTCCTACCAGAAACATTTCTGCCTAGCCCTCCCCTGATTAACCCCTTCCCCTCTCCCAGGAGAAGGGTCTCTCCCCCCCCCATGTGGCTGAAAAAGGCCACCTCCCTGCGACCACCACCCTTCCCAAGAACAAAAAAGAAGGACCTTGACCATTCATTGCCCGGCCTTTCCCCCGCCCCCGAGCCCATCCCTTCGCCCTTACGCACAGCTCCCCCTGCCTCTCCACCCCATCGCGGCAGAGAGAGGCCCTGGTGCATTTGCCAGCCCTCCCACTAGACTCGCCCCCCCCCGCCACCCCGAAACCGAGACAAGGGGAATGCAGCCATTTTGCCTCTTTGATGTGGCTGGGGGTGGGAGGGGCAAAGCGATGGCTCATGTTGCGCTCCCCGCTCGCTCTCCCCTGCGCTCCCAGCAACCAACCCCCCCTTCCAATCGGTGACATCTACCTAGGATTTGGGGAGCAGGAAAAGCGCCCCCCTCCAAATCCAGCCCACCCACCGCCCTCTCCTCCCCCACCCCCGCTTTGCACGTGGCTTTGCAAAACGGAGAGGCCGGCCGCTGCAACTCACCCTTCGGCGGGGAGAGCCGGTCTTCCTTCTCCCGCCCCCTTGCCCCACATGCGGCTACTTGGGGTGTTGCAACCCTGAACCTCTCTCTCTCTTCCGTGCCCCTCCTCCCCCAAAAGGCGGAGCAGGAAGGCGCCTCCTCCTCTTCCTCCCTCCCCACGTGGGCGCCAGGGCATTAACCCTTTGCGCGCTACGGACGACCAGCTCTCGCCCCGCCGCTCATCAACGCGCAACTCAGATGCATGGTCCTCCAGTTTATGGTCATGTTCTTCTTGTCGTGGATTTATAGGAGCCGAACCAGGGTCCAAAGTGGTTTTTTGGGGGGATGACCCACTTTTCTCTAATCTAGGAAAACGTATTTCGAAATAAAACCCCTACGCATTAGAAATAATAATAATAATAATAATAATAATAATTCACGTCTGAGATTTTTCAAAGCTGCTCACAGGAAATTCGTTTAGCGTGGAGTTTTATCATCCTCCCATGGAGATCACGCTTCATTTTGTTCAGACACAAGCGTGCAGTTTCTTCCTTTGTAACCATTTCCAGAGGGACAGGCCTGTGGGTCTGCTGCAGCTCACCCTACAAAGGAATGTCTTGTGGCATCTTGAAGACTTAACAAATGTATTATGGCATAATAAGCTTTCATTACTGGACTACAGACCATTTGATTAAATGGACCCCATAAAAGCTTATGCTGTTAAAAATAATTTGGTTATCTTTTCAGGTGCCACAAGGCACTCTGTTAATTTCTCCATTTACAACCCCCCACCCCCCAAACTCCCCCACGCCCCCCAACTAGCTGGAGAAACCTAACTTTTTTAAAGGTCTTGGACTCAAATAGTCTATCTAGCACAGAGTAACAGTGACTGAAGCCACTCAAACACAGCACAATAAAAATGATTAAAATTGAAATAAAAAATTGAAGGTCCTATATATATATATATACCTCAAATATTTCTCTGATAGGTCGGAGGAAAATGGAAAAGCCTCCCCATTGTCTTTTTGTTCACAAATCCTGTCTTAAGGGTATGTCTGTGTATGAATAGGGTGAGCCTGTGACCTGGCTCAGTTCCTCCGTATTTATCATTACAAAAGACTGGCCAAGCTACCCAGGTAATCCAATCAAGTGACCATTAATAGGTAACCTGCCAGACAAGAGATAAACAACGCACTCAGATTTCTGTTGTAGACCGCCTCTTCTGTGATGTAGGTATGATGTATCGGGGGGGGGGTTAGTTTTGGGCTACACCCCTTCTGTGATGTATGTATGATGTTTCTGTGGGTGGTCCTGGACTCCAGGGTGGGCAACTTAAAATGTCTATATAAGGGCGGGCACACTTTTGTTCTGGGTCCTCCTCCTTTCCTGTGTGTGAGGGAGCACCCTGTTGCAACAGTTCAATAAAGATCAGGCTTACGAGCTGCTTTGCTTCCCAATATTCTCTGGTTGGCCTCTCTTATTTTCTCCAACTGATGGAGAACCTACAAAGGACTCTATAAGGGCTCTTGTGTTCCCCATAAGGGAATAAGGGCAGATTTTTGTTTCTTACAAAATAAAATGAACAGGGCCTGTACATTCAAAACAAGCAAAACTGTCAGGCTGGCACCAACTTCAAACAAGGCTTTTTTAAAGGGAAACAAATGAAAGTTAATAAAATAAATAAATGATATTAATGCTAGTTAGCACTTTGCAAATATGTCATATAATCTCTTTTTTCCTTGAAAACTTGATTTTTTTTTTTGCAATTAGGAAAGTGACCGGAAATGAACTGAAAAGTATGGGATGATGTATAAATGCCCCACATGAATTATGATGAATGCTCAATAAAGGTGTATTCTGGAGGAGCCCCCTCAACACACTTAAGCCACATTCATACTGATTTAAATATCATGGCTCCCATATATGGATGAGTGAACCTGTCATTTCTGGTTTCTCTGTTTCTCATTTTCCCAGTCTCAAATTCAAATCCCCACATTTCTGCAACAATTAACAATTAAAAAAACCCAAACTCACCAAAATTTATCAGCATTTTTAGGATGAATTTCTCCTAATTAGCATATTTATGTATGTGGTTTTGGCACACACACAGAGCGCAATTCCCCCCTGATAACACATATTTGTCTGTTATTTTAATTAATATATGCATTTTATGTGCATTTCCCTCAACATAAGCATTTTTGCACACACAGTTTGGCTGACGAATTGCATCACACAGTTTCAAAGGGCAGATGTGTTTTGGTTTGCGTATTGGTCCAAGAAGTGCCAGTTAGGTAGCTTTTCATTAAAAAGCAAGCTAAATCAAATTTCTGCCCCATTCCTACAATTCTCAGGCATTCAGTACTCTCATTGAGCAACAGTTCCCAGGTTGATTTTAGGGAAGCTGTGATAGCTAAACCAGTGTTAAATCAGTTTTCATGAGGAGTCTAGATTATTATTATTACTATTACTACTACTAGGGACACATGGGTGGCGCTGTGGTCTAAACCACAGAGCCTAGGGCTTGCCGATCAGAAGGTCCCGGTTCGAATCCCTGCGACAGAGTGAGCTCCTGTTGTTCAGTCCCAGCTCCTGCCCACCTAGCATTTCGAAAGCACGTCAAGTGCAAGTAGATAAATAGGTACCACTCCAGCGGGAAGGTAAACAGCGTTTCCGTGCACTGCTCTGGTTCGCCAGAGACGGCTTAGTCATGCTGGCCACATGACCCGGAAGCTGTCTGCGGACAAAATTCTGGCTCCCTTGGCCTATAGAGCAAGATGAGCGCCGCAACCTCAGAGTCATCCGTGACTGGACCTAACGGTCAGGGGTACCTTTACCTTTACTACTACTACACTACACAACTACTACTACTACACCATTACTACTACTGCAACTGCTACTACTAGCACTACTGTACTACTACTGCCACTACCACTGCTAGTACACTAGTACTATTACTACACTCCTACTGCCACTTCTACTATCCACTCTACAATTTCCAGAGTGGATTAACAGTCAGCCCCTCTTCCCAGGGAACAGCCATGTAATAGATCCTTCAGGAAAGAGCATTGGGATTTCAGCAGAGGGGCTGGTCCATTGGGGTGAATGGCATTTCCCCCCCCCCTTAACCTCAGCCTGCCCTCAGCCAACCACCACCTGCCACCCTCTCACTTCCCTCTTGCCCAGAGGGTGGCACTGCCTGCCAGTTTCTTCCTCCTTAGTCCCTGCAGAACTACTCAGCAGGGAGGAGGAGGAGGAGAAGGAGGGTGGGAACTACACTACAATTACTGTGGTGATTTGCCAGTCATCGGCTCTACAGCCAACTACTATTGACCTTTCCTTCTTCCTCCCTTCCATTCCCGATGGGCACTAGCCACCACTGGCCTTCCTCGTTATTCTGTTATACTTTAGGGCTGCTGTACGGGAATTATGGTTGCATCCGCACGGCATTCCTGGGCTCATTCTGACATTCGGCCTGGATTTAATGTGCTTGGGAGAAAATTGTGGTCTTCGGGGCATGAACACCCTAACGTAACGTCTGAACGGGCACTCCCGTGCACGCACATAAACCCATGCTACTGCGCCGAAGAGCCAGGTTATCGCGCATACAAAGGCATTGGCTTAGCCTGGGCTGGATTTTTGAACCTGCTTTCAATTCTTAAACGGCAGATCTGTCCCCCACCCCCCTCTTTTGTTTTATTGTATGGAAAGAGCGTGAAAAGTTAGATGATTTGAGCCAGCTTTGCTGAGACGCCGATCCGGTTTCTCTTTTCTATTGATAACGTGGCGACGAATGAGATTTTCCAAGGGTTAATATGATAGAGCAGGGGAGCGCGAGAGGGGCTTCGGAGAGGAACCTTCCTGCTCCGCCTCTCTGGAGATGGAGGTGGGAGGGGGGCAGTGTTTCAGCAGGAGAATCAGGAGCTTGTGGTGGAGGCGAGGCAGTCCTGGGGGTGAGTTAAAAAGAGGTCCCGGGAAGATGGAGAACGCAGCACCCATAGGGTGCTTTAGCTAGAGAGAGAAAAGGGAAATAGATGTAAATGCATAAATATCAAGGGGTGCTTAGCAGCTACCCCTGCGATTATTAATTTCCCAACCATACATGCTTTCTAATCAAGATTGTTACCCTCCACCATCCCACCCGCCCACCCCCGCAGACCAAAATCTCCTTTAGCTGCTTGAGTTTCCAACCTGTGCAGCTGAGAGGAATGTGCTTTGCATACAAATTGGGCAGGAGAACAGACCTTTTATCAGCTAGATAATAAACAGACACCCCTTGGATATCTCTACCATGGACAGAACTGAGTGCAATCCTGAGTCAATTCTGGACTCATAAATACCCCATCCCTTGCCTGAGCCATTTTTGGAAACAGTTTGAAGCCAGGTTAAATGCCCTGGATTCCCCCAAACAACTCTGAAAAGTACTGGTTATGCAAAGAGTGATGAGGACATTATTAGAAGCCTCTGATTCCTTCCAAGAACTACAATACCAAAAGATCCTTGGGCGGGAACCCTGAGATTAAACAGGTTTCATTTAATAGCATAGTTTGAGAATGTTGAGAGAGGGCCAACCCTGGTTCACTAGCCTCTCCCTGATCTACACCAATATTTCTTTTTTTAACCATATCTCATCATTTCAGGCACAGTTGGTTCTCATCGCTCAGAGATGTCACATTACTCTACAGATCATCATATCCTAATTAGGGCACTCACTTGATTCAAGAAACGCTAGTTGATCCATTGTAGCTGTTTTAATTGATCAAATCTGCACCTTCATCAAACAACAGCCCTGGAGGAAAAAACTATTTTGCTCTTCATTTTTCAGTAATGCATCCACACAGGCGCTTTCTTAAAGAGACGTACCCTGCTACGTAAGATAGAAAAGGAAAACGTCTTTCCTGAGATGGTTGCCTGCCAGCACACATGCTGTTTGTAAGTCCTTGCCTTAAAAAATGATTTTTTTAAAGGAAAAAGAAGCTGCTGCCTGATTCGTTCACACTTGTTATCGTACAAAATAATTTGTAATTGGCTGATCTGATGTCTATTTAAACGGTGTTGCTGTTACGATTCTTCCACGGCTGCCTCAAATCGCCTCATGTAGTCACTGATGGATGTGAGAGAGGGAGTTTCGGGGAGCAAGAATGCAGGTTTGAAGAGAGTGTGAAGGTGGTACCATGAGAGAGAAGATGGCCACAGAGGAGGGGGCCGAGGCAGACCTGGGGGCTGTGACCCAAGCGCCACTGAGCCTGCAAGGCATTAAAATGGAAGAGCAAGCACCAGCAGCCCTCAGAATGGGACAAGCCCTAGAAAAAGCAGGACAGGCTTCTTGTGTCCTTCGTGCCAGGAAGCTCTTGCAATGGAAGGTGTCTCCACTGGTCAAGGAGGAGCCAGATGCAGGAAGGATCCAGCGCTGGGAGGTCCAAGGCCCAGAGACAGAACATCCCCTTTCTTTTGGATGGGGGAGAACAAGGCCCACTGAGGCTGAACCTTGGGATGACATCCTGGCACTTTTTGCTTCCTTTGAGCACGTGGCCTATGCCTGCCGGTGGCCGAGGGAAGAGTTGGTGGCCCGGCTTTTGCCAGCCCTGGGCGGGGAGGCCCAAGAGGCTTACCTCAGTTTGGACACTAGTGACAGAAGGGACTATGGGAAAGTGAAGGCAGCCATCTTGAAGAGGGAACCCGTGGCGTCGGAGAAGCGGAGGAGGCACTTCCGGCAGTTCCAGTACCAGGAGTCAAGGGGGCCGAGGGATGCTTGCCGGCGGCTCTGGGAGCTGTGCCGTCGTTGGCTGAGGCCGGAGAGCCGAAGCAAAGAGCAGATCCTGGAGCTGCTGATCCTGGAGCAATTCCTGACCATCTTGCCAGAGGAGGTCCAGAGCCAAGTTTGGGAGCAAGTCCCAGAAACCTGTGCCCAGGCGGTGAACCTGGCTGAGAATTTTTTGGCAAGGCAGCAGGAGGCTGAGAGGCAGGTACTCCAGGTGAGAGGATCCTGCAGTTCCTTCTTGATCCCTGGGGTCCCAAATTGGTCTAACCATGCGGGAAGTTTTCCTTAGGCGCTTATGCGAGGGGAGACAAAGCACCTCTCTCCTCCTGATCACCATCTAATAAAATCCTTCTCATATAAAATGTCTTCATAAAGGCAAAGATGGCCAAAGCTGCTTTATGAGCTGTGAAAATCTGGTGCACGAAGGTTTGGAATAATATATTTAATTTGTATAGACTTTAGCTGTATGGAGAACGATGTAAGTGCTTTGCCCAAAGTTAGAAGCAAAGAATGTCCATGTCCAAAGACATAAAATCTAAACAGACAGGACACAAAAGGCAGGGAAGAGAATTAGGAGATCAGGAGTGGGGAACCTGCTGCCTGCCAGGGTTTAGTGAGCTGGGAGAATCTGTGGCAGAGAGAAGTCTAGAAGCAGGAGAGGAGGGAGGCAGATAAAGAAGTCAGGGGGTCTCCCCTCCTACTGTGACCAGCTCCCTTCCCTCTGGTATCCCAGGACCAGAAGGGGTTATGAAGAGGGAGGAGCAGAGACGGGCTTGCCAGCGGAGTCTCAGGTTGCTTGGGAAGGACCCAGAGAGAAGGAGATTTTGGCATCTTCTGAGTAGGAGCAAAACCTACTCAGAAGAGTTGTTGTGCTCATTAGGACTGGCTTCCCTGAGTTTATAATTTGTATGATTTATTGCTGGCTGGCTTCCTGACATTCTGACATCAAATCATGCTGACTCGTGAGAGTCTCCAGTTCTGTCTCAAACCCAGTGAAGTCCTTTGCTCCCCCAAGCTGTTCCAGGGAGTTTGTGCCAGGATGTCGAATGCTCATTCCTACCAGCCCTGTTCCTGCATTGAGCGGGACCTTCCCTGCAATTTCAGGTGTCAGGGCCGTTCGAGGACACCCTCGTGAGTTCCCCAAGGGCAGAGCTGGCTCCGTCAGACACCAGGCAGAGCCTCTTCTGCAGGAAGGCCAAGCAGACAGGTGGTGGAGGAGATGCCAGCTCTCTGGGTGAGTAGTTGCTGCATTTTTGAAATTCAAGTTTACATAGGCATTGCCATCTTCACAAGCGCATAGCTTGTACTGTTGTTTTAACTGTTGAGTGTTGCGTTTAACTTAGAGTGTTGTTCTAAGTGTAAAGTGGCATGTGATTGGTGTGCCCCCCCCCACAAAACCCAGAACTGCAGGTGATCCAACTGGGTCACCCTACCCCTACATTTGCCTCCAGCTCTCCCCTTGAGCTCTCCCCAGTTCTGTAAAATTAGTGTGCAGCAACCCTGTTCACAGAATTTTTTATGGGGCCATCCATACCAGCTGTTTCTGCCATGTCTTGGAAACAGCAGTACTACGTTCCAGTTCATGTGATGTCCCTTATTGGAGTTCCACTTCCTGGTTTTCAGGCCAGGGCTGATATCATTCCTTGTTCTCTTCAGCCAGTTTTGGCCAAACCACACTATGTTTCTTTTCTGATGCTGGTTCTTCTGACACAGAGGCAACATGGGACTCACTGGCCGACGAAGGGGGCCCTGGCGGATGTGGGAAGCGAGACCCTTCTGCAGGGCCAGGTGGGCAGGGTACTAGACTGCTGTTATATACAGGAGACATCCAAATCCTTACAGGGGAGGCTAACGGCTTGAGAATTATGCAGCACAAAGTTTTACCTTTGTCATGAACTTGCTAGGCAGTCTTAGGCAAAAGCCACTCTCCATTTCAGCTCCTTTCCCCCATGCTCAACACGGGCAAAATAATGTTGAGATTCCTGCATTGTAGCGGGGTGGGTGTGTATGGACTAGATGACCCTTGGAACCCTTTCCAATTCTATGATTTTTAAAGAGTTGCTATAAGAAAGCCAGCATGGTTAGTGTTGCATTAGGACCTGGGAGACCCAGGTGCAGATCCAAATGCAGCCATAAAGCTTACAGGGTGACCTTGTGCCAGTCACACTCATTCTCTCTCCTCTATTCCCCTTTATAATAATAAATTTTATTTAAACCCTGCCCTCCCCAGCCAAGACCAGGCTTAGGCTAACACCAGATATAAAAACAATTGATTAAAATACAACTTAAAAACAAGATTAAAATACAACATTAAGATGCAGCCTCATTTCAGTAGAAACTCAAATCAAAAACCTTTTGGGGATGAAAACATCCCCAAGCTACAATTAGAGAGCTACAATTCCCTTCGAAGAGGGATTGACTATTAAACTACTCTGGGAATTGAGAGCATTGCGAAGGGAATAGAATGGTTTCCCAACAACTCTTTGCACCCTGAATAAACTGCCCTTCCCATAATTATTTATGGAAAGGGATGACCATTTAAAAAGGAATCACTGTGCTTGAGATGTAGGGTGTGAATGTGAGAAGAAAAAAATGAGAATTAATTGACTTGGCCAGTCATTGGTCAGACGCTACTTGCTATTGGGCTCCCTACTTTCTGCTTTGCTGGTCCAAATGGGCACCAGCTGTTCCTTACATTAAACATTTCTTTTCTTTTTATTCATTAGTGCATTTACACCCCACTCAGGGTTGGCTGGCTGCAAATACTCGGCTGTATCGTTTAGAGCCTTCCTCCTGCCAGCTTCAGGCCTTCAGTCTTCTTTTCTCTCTGGCAGCTGGTAGCTGTGGAGCGGCGTCCGGATTCTCTCCCCTCCCTGCACCAACCAGAAATGAAGAGTATGGAAAGAGGCTTGTGGGAGCTGAGGGGCTCCCAGCACACCTGGGCGCCGCCAGCAGGGACAGCGCGTACCTGTGTTCCCAGTGCGGGAAAGGGTTTCGTTGGCCGTCGGCGCTGGCTGTCCACCAGAGGACCCACACGGGGGAGAAGCGGCACCGCTGCGCCGAGTGCGGGAAGTGCTTTGGCCAGCGCGGCCATTTGACGGTGCACCGGAGGATCCACTCGGGAGAGAAGCCGTACGGGTGTCCTCAGTGCGGGAAGCAGTTTGTCGACTCCTCTCACCTCACCAAGCACCAGAGGACACACTTGGGGGACAGGCCCCACCACTGCGCTGAGTGCGGGCGAAGGTGTGCCAATAAACGCTCGCTCGTGCAGCACCAGCGAATTCACAGCAGGGAGAAGTCCTAGGCCTGGGGATGAGCCTAGGCCCCTCTTGAGATTCAGGGGCTGAGTTATATTGCTGTAAGGCGGAGATTTGGCCCTTCAGGTATCACTGGTCTGTAGCTGCCATCATCGCTGGCCATGCTGGCTGTGACGGAGGACCAAAGGTTCAGTTCCTCATTCCTGGTGTAACTGAAGAGAAAGGAGCCCCTGTTTCCACCCTTTGTCCCCCTGGGGGAAGAAACCAACAGATGCTCAGGGGTCTCTGGGGGTTTTCCTGTTGTTATTCTGTCTCTCACAGCTACAATAAACCTACCATTAAAATTATGGACTGGTCATTTCTTCGTCAGAGGGCAAACGGGCAAATTTAGCAGGGGATCAAATACTTTCCCCCCTCTCACTGTATATAGCAATGAGGAAGCATGCTTGGGTGAGCTGGTCCTGCAGGTCTGTAGTAGCAGCCAGCTGTGCCGAGTGCCCTGAATATCAAACAGAATGCTTCCCAGCCCTTGGAGCCCTTTTGGAATGTAAAAAAAATACGTTTTCTTTTAAAATTAATGCATTGACAAATAAGTGGATAAGAAGGCGTTCATGTTTCAGGAGCCTACTTGAAATATACAGGGAATGGCAGCTGAACCGGTGTTTGATTTGGTGGTATGTATGTCATTCAGTTCTGAAGGTGGGCTGAAGAATTTGTTGTTATATCTGCCTTCACAACATGAAAGCGTTTGTGACTGAATTTTACCCCAGGTCAGAGAGGTGTCATTGAGTATAGGAGGTGTGATCAGAATCCATATTTGTTTCTCTTAAAAACAGGCATGACCTCTAACAGAAGAGGTGATTGTAAATGAACTTAACGGAAGATAGTCAGGCCTACCAGACCAATGGGCCTGTACATTTATCTCTTCCCCCTCCCCATTACACATCTTTTAGAGTGGTCTAAAATTTTGAGTTCTTCTCAGGGCCAACACTTGGGCAAAGTGACGTCTGGTGCCCCCAATCGATAAGTCCTGGTGGGCTATCCTGACTATGGCAAGGGCAAAAACAGCAGTGGCCTAGGCAGCTTGAGGCAGCCATTTTACGTGGGGCATTGTGGGTAATTAAAATGGCTGGTGCTGGGCTAGAAAAATAATGATGACAAGCAAGCATCAGCGATGGACTCCAAGGATGCTTGGTAGTTTACCAACAGGACGTCACTGTTAAGACAGTGTTCATGGAAGACAATCTTACTTAGCTACGAGCGACTGCCAAAGAAGAAGATGAAGGCGAGGTCCCCCGCTTCAGCGCTGTAGACCATGGACAGGACTCTCCTGGGAGATGGTAAACTCGTCTTTCTGGGAGGTATCTTTTTCTTAAAAAATAAATAAATAGATTTTATTAAAAGATTTACTTGGGTTACAAAAGTTTGTGCATTGTTTCTGTTTTCAGTTGGTAGAGTCTTTTCTACAGATCAGTTATTCTGGGAGGTTTTTAAGCAGAGAAGTTTTAGTTGAGATTCCTGCATGGCCGGGGGTTGGAGTAGATGACTCTGGGGGTCCCTTCCCACTCTACAATTCCATGATTCCCTGCCACCCCCGGATCAGCTCAGCCCAAGGAGACTCCAGGAGAGCAGTGAGAGAGCTAAAAGCAGGATTGTTGGGGGGGGGCATTGGGGATTCAAGGGGGCAGCATGAAGACGGCTCCTCTGCAGTGGGCGCTGGTTGCTTCTGCGGTCTAGAGGTACTTAGAGGTCAGCACCGGACAGCGATGAGGCCGTCTGCATGCTTTGGCTCAGCATCTGTGAGAGAGTGGTGGAAGCAAGGAGAGTTAGGCAGCAAAGCAGAAGCAGCAAAGGAGGGAAGGAGGTGTGGGAATGTTAAGGAAGGCAGGAGGGGATATATTGTTTTGATATCCCTTCTCACTCATGCTAGTGAATAAACAGCAGAGCACATTCCCTTTGCATCTGACTGGAAGTAAGTTGATGCTTCATTAGAATCCTTTAATTAAGCAATCCAGTCCGGCTTGGCCAGTCTGAATGGTTCTCGGTAACTTTCCCCTTTACATCCCTCTTAATATAATAACGACACAACACAGTCTTCTTTAAAAGTAAGATTTATTTTTTAAACTCACATTCAGTTCACAGCAGTAATCTGAAGGCAGGCTTTATCTTGTGGTTACAGTGAAAAGAAGTCTGAGCTACATCTCAGACTTTCTGCTTGTGGGCTCCATCCTATGTGAAGGTTGAGTCATGTGCTGGCTAAGAGCCAGAAGAGCGAGAGTCTAAGACATGGGTAGGCAAACTAAGGCCCCCCACAAGGTATGAGGGACAGTGGACCAATCCCTGCTGAAAAAGTCTCCTGACCCCTGGTAAGAGTAAGAGTGGAGGAAAGTAAGGAGGAACGTGCCCCCGCAGCTCCCTCCCCCCAGACTCACTTGGAAGTTGACGGGGTCCAGGAGCAGGTTCTGGACGGGCAGGGACGCTCAGGTGCTTGAGGGTGTCGACGATGTTGTCCACGAGGAGTCCGGCGTCCTTGCGGATAAACCAAAGTAGTTTCTTTCCCTGCAGGCTGATGTAGCTGGAGAGGTGCTACAGTAGGAAGAGAGAAGCAGGTGTGGGCGGTGGGGTGCGTGGCTAACAGCCTGCAGGAGATGAGAGTAAAGAGAAGGGTCAGAACAGCGGCTTCGCCTGCGTGAGTGTGTCCCTGCCCGACGGGACGGGCTTACTGGGGCACAGGTCTCCTGCAGGTGCTGGGTAATATCATCATGGTGATGGCCACCTCAGAACCCAATTCCTAGGGACCGAGGTCCATTTGGGGTCCCCAATAAAGTATTTGAGGAGGCTGGGCCTCCATGAGACCAGCATCAGAGACCTCGCCCCCCAAAACACATCCAGCAGTGACAATCAGTCTGCACTCTGTGTCCATTGAGGGTTCTCAGTTCTTGGGCAATTGGGAGAGTTCTTCCCAATTCCCAAAGAAAGAAGGGGGCAGGTTCTTGTGGGGATCAGGACTGGCGAAGCAGCAGGAAAGCAGAGACCGTTCTCCCCATTCCAAGCCGCCCAAAGGGGGAACATGTTGAGGGTGGGGCTGAGAATCTAGTTCAGTTTACTTAAAAATACACAGGACTGAAGAGTTCATGCAACGCGTAACAGGTTTATGGAAATAAACAAAGGAGCAGATTTCAAGCAACAACTTGGAACATGAAAAGAAAGAACGACGCTTACCCAATCTATAGTTCAGCCCAGTCTAATTAGTGAGGTTAAATATATGTGGGAAGCAGACTGGATTATTAGAAATGTATTTTAGGTTACTGAACTGCAGATCGGTTCCAAACTGGACCATTTCCTACCAACCCTGAAATGAGAAAGAACAATTTTGTTTAATTGCTTATTCGTTAATTAGGATTCATGGGGAAATGGTCCAGTTTGGAACTGAGCCCCAGTTCAGGAGCCTAGAAATTACAGCTCAATTATGCTGGGCTGACCTATAGATTGGGTCAGTATTATTCTTTCTTTTTACGTTCCAAGTTGTTGCTTGAAGTCTCTTCCTCTGTTTTTCCCCATAAACCTATTTATGGGAAAGCCTTGCACAATCACTTGGGTATTAATCAGATGCCCCTCTTTGTTCAATATTTGGTGCTGGACACAGCAAGTGGTGGAACAAGATTCTTCCAGTGGATGTCAAGGAACACAAACACCACCAACACCAACAAAGAGGGCGCCTCTAATCATTCCAGATTTATACTTGAAAGAAGTAGCAAGTTTAAGGAGCGGGTGCAGATTCAGAGTCACTATGTGTTGAGAGACAAAGTTGGAGGCAGCAGGGAGCCCTCAAGACTGTCCTGGAAGGAACTCCAGGGGATCAGCAACCAGGGATGATAAGTTGACACCTTCGCCACAGACTGCAACCAAGGGTTCATTTCCTGTGTTCACCAAAGTGGGTGGTCATTATAGGTGTCCAGGGTGGATCACCTACACATACATTCCTATCCACACCAAACCAAGTGGTTATTATAGGTAATATAGGCCATCATGCAGGGACCTGCCCATGTATTGCTATCCAAACACAGACGTACACTTTTGGTGCACGCTTATGAGTGGCAGAGTGGGTGTAGGCCACATCTATGAGAAGGTGGAAGTGTGAGTGGCAGCAGAATTCCCCGGTTCAGCTAACCCAGAAGCTAAAAGAAGAGAAGCGTGTGTGACCTTGCAGGCCATTTCTCCCCTTGTCCACCAAAGGCTGAGCATGGAAGCCAGGCAAGAAGGCACCTGCAGAAGAGTCTCTTGGGAGGGCAGCTGTGGGGGTAATGTGGGGCTGGTGCTCTATGCAGGCTGGCCATACTGGGGGAGGGAAGGAGGAGGAGAAGGCGTGAGCACTTCGGGGCATCACAATTTTGCATGACACCCCCCCAAGAAAACAGGATGTCCCAGACTGTTGACGGGTATGTGGCAGCCACATACTGACCCTCTAGGTGAGTTTTGCAGACTACCAATTGGGAACCGCTGATCTACAGTATTCCAAGTGTTTTTGCACCACAGATTTGTAGAATGGCATTCTGGTAGCCACAGTCTTGTTTTTAAATGCATGTTCAAGTGACTCCCACCCAGCATGGAATGGGCCTTTTTCACAGCTGCAGAACACAGGGCTGGCTTTTTCATCCAGCTCTCCACTACTATCTTAAGGTCTCGATCCAGGTTGGCCACTGCCAGTTCAGACCCAGGAATATATATGTGTGGAGTTAAGATATGTCTTTTTTTGCATCACAGAATCATAGAGTTGGAAGGGATCCCGAGGCTCACCGAGCCCAACCCCCAGCAATGAAGGAATCTCAGCTGAAGTATCCCAGACAGATGGCCAGCCAACCTCTGCTTTAAAATCTCCAAGGAAGGCGAGTCCACCACCTTCAGAGGGAGTCTGTTCCATCGTCAAACAGCTCTTGCTCTCAGAACGTTATTCCAAGTGTTCACAGGGCCCCCCCAAGACAGCATTGCGGACGGCCTCAGCAACCTGAGCGCCCTGCTGGAGGAGGAGATGACCTTCCAAGGGAGTCTCTCTCTCTCCCCGTAGGGGGGCTCTGGAGGGGGCGTCCCTCCTTTCCTCTCGCTCAACCCTCCCAGCCCAATGCTCCCCACCTCTGCTTCTCCTGCAGGTGCTGGGTAATATCATCATGGTGATGGCCACCTCAGAACCCAATTCCTAGGGACCGAGGTCCATTTGGGGTCCACAATAAAGTATTGGAGGAGGCTGGGCCTCCACGAGACCAGCAGCAGAGACCTCGCCCCCCAAAACATACCCAGCAATGACAATCAGTCTGCACACTGTGTCCATTGAGGGTTCTCAGTTCTTGGGCAATTGGGAGAGTTCTTCCCCTTTGGGGTTTTTTCTTAATTTCCCTGTTGTTGTGCAAACCACAGGGGTGTGGGGCCTCCCCCCAGGCCTTGTGGCCCCTCCCACATCTGTGTAGGCAGCGCTAGTTGGGCTCAGTAAGCAACTACCCTCTTGGCTGAAGAGGTAGAAAAAACAATCTGGGCAGCTTGGCAGGTCCCAAGCCCAGACCAGGAGGCTCTTGGTTCAAGGCCCCTTCCCTCAGGCCATGAGCCCGCTGCTTGAAAGGGCGCATCATTGCAAGGAAATATGCAGCTCCTCCTAACTGACTGATATTCCAAGGACGAAATGAGAGTAGCAGCACTTCACCTCTGGCGACTGAACAACCTCTGATATCGTTCCTTGCTCTCTTCAGCCAGTTTTGGCCAAACCACACTGTGTTTCTTTTCTGATGCAGGTTCTTCTGACACTGAGGGGACATGGGACTCCCTGGCAGACGTGGGAAGCGAGAGCCTTCTGCAGGGGCAGGTGGGCAGGGTACTAGACTGCTCTGATAGACAAGAGACATCCAAATCCTTACAGGGGAAGCTGACACCTTCAGAATTATGCAGCACAAAGGTTTTACTTTTGTCATGAACTTGCTAGGCAGTCTTAGGCAAGCCACTCTCCATTTCAGCCCCTTTCCCCCTGTTCAACATGAGCAAAATAATGTTCGCATTCCTGCATTGTGGGGGTTGGACTGGATGCTCTTATTCAGTTAGTTAGCCTCTTTTGTCCACCATGTTGTCTCCATTGCAGTGGTTCTATGAGGTAGCAAGATGGCTGCCATTGCCACCTCCTATTTCCATAATAATTAATTTTTGTACCTCTTCCAACTGCCTGGGTTGTTCCAGCTACTCTGGGTGACTTACTAATGAATTATTGAGCAGAGGCCATAACTGTTCAAGTGTTATAATAGTGTTTTGAATGTACAGTCGTACCTTGGTTTTCAAACAGCTTATTCCTCCAGAACGTTGAAAATCTGGAAGTGACTGTTCCGGTTTGCAAACTATTTTTGGAAGCTGAACGTCAGACGGGGCTTCCTGAGGCCAATCAGAGGCCGCGCTTTGATTTCCAAACGTTTTGGAAGTCGAATGGATTCTGGAATGGAGTCCATTCGACTTCCAAGATACGACTGTGTAGAGCCGGTGTGGTGAAGTTGGTGGTGTGTGGTTTGAAGACATTTGGAAATAATAGAGAAAATGCAGGAACACAAATATAAGACTATCTCCAGACCAGCCAGAAAATGGGAAGCCCCATTAAATTAATCAATATGAAATGTTTAATTGGATTGTTTTGTTGTTTTTTTGGATATGACGTGGCAAGATTTGATATGTTATTAATTGAGATGTTATTAATCAAAAATTAATAAAAATTTATTTTTTTATTTTTTTAAAAGAAGCCAAGGAGAATCCTTGTCTCCTCTCCTGATGAGCCTCCAGCCTGGGTCCTGGGCATTGCCGGCTCAAGCCCTTCTTGAGAGGCAAAATGGTGTTTCCTGTCATCTTGGGCCCCTCCAGGCCTGCAGGCTCCCCTACTGTAGAGATATTCTCCCGTGGAAGGGACACTCCCGGGAGGTGGTGGACTCTCCTTCCTTGGAAGGTTTTAAGTAGAGGATGGATGGCCGTCTGCCAGGGACGATTTGATTCTGGGGGTTGGACTAGATGACTCTGAGTGTCCTTCCCAACTCCATTATTCCCCCCCACCCTGTTCAGCCTAAATAGACTCCAGGAGAGCAGTCAGAGCTAAAAGCAGGTTTATTGGGGGTGTGGAGGGACGAGGTCGAGGCTGCCACGTCCAGGCGGCACTTCTGCGGAGGGCGCCGGCTGCTTCTCTGGCCTAGCGGTACTTGGAGGTCAGCATGACGGGGCGGCTGTCCATGGAGACGCTGGCGCTGTTATCTAGGACCCCGGACGTTGACGTCCATTACCACCTGGATGTCTGGGCTCGGCAGCTGCAGGAGGGGCGAAGGCGGGGAGCGTTAGACGGAGAGGACGGAGCGGCGCGAAGGGGCGAAGGAGGGACCCACGTCTGGAGCCCCCGCCCAACGGGGAGGGAGAGAGACTCACCCCGGAGTTGAAGGGGTCCGCCAGCAGGTTCTGGGCGGGCAGGGCGCTCAGGTTGCTGGGGTCGCCCTCGCCTTCCTCCAGGATGCGACGGTAGACGGACTTGTAGATTATCGTTTTCAGCTGCGTCCTAATGGGGACGCGGCTACGGGAGGAGGGGGAGAAGAAGGTCAGCTTGCGGGAAACGAGAGTAAAGAGGAGAAGGGTCGGGCCATGGCCTCGCCATCGGGAGAGGGTTCCTGCCCGACGGGGCGGGCTTACCTCGGCACAGCCTGGGCGCCGATGTCTGCGGAACGGGACGGGATCTCGGCCCAAACGGGCTGCACGTGGCTCTGGCTGGCTCCGCTCAGCGCCATCCTGCCAGCTCAACCTCTTCGGTGATCAAAGGAGCCCTTTTAATGCCGTCCATCGCTGCATTCATGCACGACTTTCCCATAAATAGGTTTATGGGAATAAACAGAGGAGAAGAAGACTCCAAACAATAACTTGGAACATCAAAAGAAAGAGTAACACTTCCCCAATCTACAGCCTAGTGTAACTGGTAAGGTTGAATATGTGGGAGACCCAGACAGGATTATTAGGAATATATTTATAGGGTACTGAACTGGGAGCCAGTTCCAAACTGGACCATTTCCCCTGGAATTCTAATTGAATCACTCACACATAAGCATATCAACAACATAAATATTCTTCCTTATTTCATTTTTCACCCCAATTTTTTTTTCTTCACGAAATTATAAACAAACAAACCCATAAAACAAACAAAAATAAATCATAACCTTGTTAAAAATTACAATTATTAACATTGTTAAGTGTCTTCCTCGATTGCCCTTGGTTGAATTTCAATGCATATCCTTTTAAAGGTTTTCCAAATCACAATTCTTATAAAATTTAACTTGAACATTAACATCCTTAGATCTTTTCATTTTGAAATTAAACATATTAATTCATCACTTAAATTATATAAAATCCTAAGCCAATTAAGTATCTTCAAGCTGTTTCCAATTCATTTAACTTAACATATTTAACTAAATAATCATTAAATTTAGTCCATTCTTCCTGATACTCCTCCTCCTTCTGGTCGCGAACTCTTCCGGTTAGGTCGGCTAGCTCCGAAAAATCCATCATCTTCATCTGCCATTTCTTTCGTTTTCCACTTTTTAGCTAGTAAAATTCGAGCAGCAGTTGTGCATACAAAAATAATTTAACATCTTTCTTGGGCAATTCCAAACCTGTTATTCCAAGAAGAAAGGCCTCTGGTTTCTTTATAAATGTATATTTCAACATTTTTTTCCAATTCATTATAAATCTTTCCCCAGAAGTCTTTCACCTTGGGGCAGGTCCACCACATATGATAAAAGGTTCCTTCCTTTTCTTTACATTTCCAACATAGATTGTCACAGCTAATTTTACAGGAGTCAAATACCATCTGTACATCATTTTCATTATATTTTCCTTTAACACGGTACATGCAGTGAACTTGACCCCTTTCTTCCACAATCTTTCCCAATCCTCAAACATTATATTATGTCCTACATCTCTTGCTCAATCTATCATCACAGATTTAACTTGTTCATATTTTGTATGCCACTCCAACAATAACTTATACATTTTAGATAAATTTTTACCTTTAGTATCCAACAAATTCCGTCTCCAACTTAGATTTTTCAGAAGGAAACCCATTTTTCTTATCCAATTTGTACAATTCATTAATCTGGTGATAATGTAACCAGTTTAACTTATCTTTAACTTGATCAAATGGTTTTAATTTGTAACCTTCTTCATCTTCCAATAATAAATCAGAGTATCTCAACCATTTGGTATCCATATTTAGTTTTTTCTGGGCCTTTGCTTCCATTGGTGAAAGCCATCTGGGCGTCTTTCTTTCTAAAAGATCTTTATATTTTATCCAAACACTATACAACAATTTCCTAATTACATGGTTTTTAAATGCTTTACGGGCCTTTACAGTGGTGCCCCGCAAGACGAATGCCTCGCAAGACGGAAAACTCGCTAGACGAAAGGGTTTCCCGTTTTCTGAGCTGCTTCGCAAGACGAATTTCCCTATGGGCTTGCTTCGCAAGACGAAAACGTCTTGCAAGTTTGTTTCCTTCTTTGTAAAACCGTTAATACCCAGGGAGCATTGCTTGAAGAGGTGCAGTTGCGACTTGACTTCGAGGAGCAACACATTGCACGCGGTGTGGTAGCCTTTTCTGAGGTTTTTGAGGACTTTGCTGATTTTTGAAGCTTTTCCAAAACTTCTTTGCAGCTGTTTGGTAAGTTAAACTTTTAAAACTTTTTTGGGGGTTTTTGGATTTTGGGTTGGGGTGTTGGAATTCAAGGACTTGGTGTTGGGGAGAGGTTTGCAAGAATCTGGGAGCTTGTGTGGTTTTTTTCTGCATTTTTATGATTTTTTGTGACCATTGGGGCATGTTGTTGTTTTTTTAAAAAATTTCTGAATTTGAATTTCTGTGTAGTGGGGTGGCTGGGGGGACAGTTGAGGAGGGGTTTGCAAGAATCTGGGAGCTTGTGTGGTTTTTTTCTGCATTTTTATGATTTTCTGTGACCATTGGGCCATGTTGTTGTTTTTTTAAAAAAATTTCTGAGTTTGAATTTCTGTGTGGTGGGTGGCTGGGGGAGCAGTTGGGGAGGGGTTTGCAACAGTTGGGGAGGGGTTTGCAATTTCTGTGTGGTGGGTGGGTGGCTGGGGGAACAGTTGAGGTTTTTGAAGACTTTGGTGATTTTTAAAGCTTTTCCAAAACTTCTTTGCAGCCATTTGAGGTTTTTGAAGGCTTTGGTGATTTGCAGCCATTTCGTAAGTTAAACTTTTAAAACTTTTTGGGGGGTTTTTGGATTTTGGGTTGGGTGCTTGGAATTCAAGGACTTGGTTCAGGGTTTGAATTCCTGTGTGGTGGGTGGCTGGGTGCTTTTGAATTTTTTGGGTCTGAATCACTGATTTTTATTTTTTTTCTGAGTTTACGAAGCTAGGAGCTGTGCTGCCATGGGACCCAAGAAGACTGCTGCTGCAGAGGCCGGCGAGAGGAAGAAGGAGAAGGTGACGCTGGAAATGAAGAAGGAGATCATCCGGAAGCACGACGGTGGAATGCGTGTGACAGACCTCGCCAGGGAGTACGGCAGGAACCCATCGACCATCGGCACCATCCTGAAGATGAGGGAGAAGATCCTTGCGACTGATGCAGCCAAGGGAGTCACCAGGATCGTGAAGAACCGCCCAGCTGTTCTGGAGGAGGTCGAGAAGTTGCTCCTCATCTGGTTAGAAGAGAAGCAGCGTGCAGGGGACACAGTGACTGAGGCCGTGATTTGTGAGAAGGCCAAGGCCTTGCACGCAGACCTCATCCGGGAACAGCCAGGAACCTCAGGCGAGCCAGAAGTCTTCAAGGCAAGCAGAGGCTGGTTTGACCGGTTCAAGACGAGATCTGGAATCCACAGCGTGGTCAGGCATGGAGAGGCTGCCAGTTCTGATGTTCCTGCGGCTGAAGACTTTGCCTTGGAGTTCCTGGAGGTTGTGAAGACGGAGGGCTACGTTCCACAGCAGGTCTTCAACTGCGACGAGACCGGGCTGTTTTGGAAGAGGATGCCCAAAAGGACTTTCATCACTCAGGAGGAGGCCAAGTTGCCTGGCCACAAGCCCATGAAGGACCGTCTGACCCTGCTCTTCTGTGCCAACGCAAGCGGCGACCTGAAGATCAAGCCCCTGCTGGTGTACCACTCGGAGAACCCACGGGCCTTCAAGAAACACAAGGTCGACAAGGAGCAGCTGAGTGTCATGTGGCGATCCAACAGTAAGGCTTGGGTCACACGTGTGCTGTTTGTGGACTGGGTCAATCTTGCTTTTGGCCCTGCTGTCAAACAGTACCTGCTGGACAACGACCTGCCGCTGAAGGCTTTGCTTCTGATGGACAATGCTCCTGCTCATCCTAAAGGCCTTGAGGAGGACTTGTTGGAGGAGTTCAGCTTCATCAACATCATGTTCCTGCCGCCTAACACCACGCCACTGCTCCAGCCGATGGATCAGCAGGTCATCGCCAATTTCAAAAACTCTACACCAAGGAGCTTTTCAGGCGATGCTTCGAGGTGACTGATTGCACCACCATCACCCTGCGGGAATTCTGGAAGGACCACTTCGACATCGTCACCTGCTTGAAGATGATCACCACGGCCTGGAAAGGGATCAGCCAGAGAAATTTGAATTGCGCTTGGCGCAGCCTGTGGCCGGACTGTGTGGCACCAAGTGACTCTGATGCACCAGAGTCAACAGTGGTGCAGGACATTGTTGCCTTGGGGAGGACCATGGGCCTGGAGGTCACAGAGGAGGACGTCAGCGAGCTGGTGGAGGAGCACGACCACGAGCTGACCACCCAGGAGCTGGTCGAACTGCAGGCAGAGGCTGCGCAGGAGCAGGCCTCGCTGGAAGAGGAGGAAGCAACTGAGGAACGGCTGTCCTCCAAAGAACTGAGGGACATTTGCCTGAAGTGGAAGGATGTGCAGGCTTTTGCAGAGCGGAACCACCCTAACAAGCACGTGACACGTGACCTTGCGAACACTTTTGATACAAGGGTCATGTCGTCTTTCAGGGAGGTGCTGAAAAGGCGGATGAAGCAGCAGACCATGGACAGGTTCTTAAGCAAGAAGCAAAGAGTGGAAGAGGAACCTTCTTCGAGTGGTCCCCAGAGTCTTAGAAAATGTAATGTACACTTTGTTGATTTTTAAATGTTTTTCCTGTCATGTTTAGAAACTTAATTTATTGTTCCTTCAATTTTTGAAATGCTCTTTACAGTATGTGTGACTTTAAAGAGCAGTTAATAAACTCTTGTTGTACCAAATTTGGCTTTGTTTGGACTTTTTTTGACCATAGGAACGCATTAATTGGATTTCAATGCATTCCTATGGGATTTCGTGCTTCGCAAGACGAAAAATTCGCTAGACGAAAAAACTCGCAGAACGAATTAATTTCGTCTTGCGAGGCACCACTGTACCTTGTCATACCATAAATATGCATGCCAACAGAACACATTGTCAAATCCCTCCAAATCTAACAGGCCTGTATCTTCTAATTGCATCCATTCTTTAATACAACAAAGTGCAGCAGCTTCAAAATAAATTTTTAAGTCTGGCAGGGAGAATCCCCCTCTTTCTTTAGAATCTGTAAGTAGTTTATATTTAATTCTGGGTTTCTTCCCATGCCAGATAAATCTAGATAATGCTTTCTGCAATTCTTTAAACATTTCACATTATCTATAATTGGGAGGGCTTGAAAGAAAAAAAGCATCTTTGGCAGCACATTCATCTTAATCCAAGCAATAACTTGCAACATCAAAGGAAAGAATAACACTTGCCCAATCTATAGCCTAGTGTAACTGGTAAGGTTAAATATGTGGGTGACCCAGACAGGATTATTAGGAATATATTTATAGGGTACTGAACTGGGAGCCAGTTCCAAACTGGACCATTTCCCCTGGAATCCTAATTGAATCACTCACACATAAGCATATCAACAACATAAATATTCTTCCTTATTTCAGGATTGGTAGGAAATGGTCCAGTTTGGAACTGGCTCCCAGTTCAGGAGCCTTGACTTTAACAGGAGCCCATATATTTAACTTCACCAATTAGCCTGGGCTGAACTACAGATTGGGTAAGTGTTACGTTCTTTCTTTTGACCTTGCAAGTTGTTTTGAGTCTGTTCCAATGTTTATTCCCATAAACTTATTATGTCTTGCACGAACACTTCAGTTGTGCATATTTTTCAGTAGGCTGAACTAGATTCTCAGCCCCACCCGCAATATGTTACATTTGGGGAGTTTGGCAATCTGGGTATGAATCGGATGCCCTTCATTGTTCAATATTTGGTGCTGGGTCCAGCAAGTGGTGGGACAAGATTCTTTGGGTGGATCTCTAGGAAAAGAAACAGCAGCCCAGCACCAACAGGAAGCTTCCAAAGAGAAATTGCTCAGTTTTCCATGTGACGGCTCTTAGGATATTTGAAGATGCCTATAATTTATAAGCTAGGTAAAGGTAAAGGGACCCCTGACCATTAGGTCCAGTTGTGACCAACTCTGGGGCTGTGGCGCTCATCTCGCTTTAATGGCCGAGGGAGCCGGCGTACAGCTTCCGGGTCATGTGGCCAGCATGACTATGCCACTTGTGGTGAACCAGAGCAGCACACGGAAATGCCATCTACCTTCCCGCCCGAGTGGTACCTATTTATCTACTTGCACTTTGACGTGCTTTCGAACTGCTAGGTTGGCAGGAGCAGGGACTGAACAACCAGAGCTCACCCCATCACAGGGATTCAAACCGCCAACCTTCTGATCGGCAAGTCCTAGACTCTGTAGTTTAACCCACAGCGCCACCCTTTAATTTATAAGCTAAACTTCCCCAAATCCCTCAACCGTTCCTCATCAGGCTTGGTTTACACGGGACACTTGTTCCATTGAAATGCACTTGCCATGTTACTGCCCATTCACTCATTTCAGAGGGGTCCTTTTGGAGACCCCTTTTTCCTTTCACCCCCCCCCCCAACAATGTACTATCATCCTCAACTTTGGCCACCTCACTGTTCTTCCCTGGCGCTGGACTGTTGAGGAACAAGTAAAAAAGAAACAAAGAAACCTGCTCTTTTCCCTTCCCGATCCTTGGAGAACTCTCTGCTTCCTGCTGCTTCACCAGTTCCTGATGCCCTCGTGGAACACTCCTCTTACTTCTGGCGGGAGGCATCAGGAATGGCAGGGAAGCTACTCCCTTGCCAGGGCTCGTACGCCCCGTCCCAAATCCAGCCAAGGCCGTAGGAGGCTGGGACGCGGGAGAAGCAGCAGTGCCGACGGAAGCAAGAGCCTGAGAGAGACGCCACTAGCGGGGGCGGGGAGGCTGGGGTGGACGGCGATAAAAGGTCTGCCCGCGCTCCGACGGCACCGAAGAGATTGAAGTGCAAGGATGGCGCTGAGCGGAGCCAGCCAGAGCCACGTGCAGCCCGTTTGGGCCGAGATCCCGTCCCGTTCCGCAGACATCGGCGCCCAGGCTGTGCCCAGGTAAGCCCGCCCCGTCGGGCAGGGACCCTCTCCCGGTGGCGAGCCCATGGCCCGGCCCTTCTCCTCTTTACTCTCGTTTCCCGCAAGCTGACCTTCTTCTCCCCCTCCTCCCGTAGAGCCCTCTCCTTCCGCGACCACTTCTCCAGGATAGTCTGCATAATCAACATGAACTTATTCGGCCGCGCCCTCGACAACCCGAGCGCCCTGCCCGCCCAGAACCTGCTCGCGGGCCCCGTCAACTCCAGGGTGAGTCTCTCTCCCTCCCCGTCGGGCGGGGGCTCCAGACGTGGGTCCCTCCTTCGCCCCTTCGCGCCGCTCCGTCCTCTCCGTCTAACGCTCCCCGCCTTCGCCTCTCCCACAGCTGCCGAACCAATACCTCCCGGAGGCAATGGACGCCAACGTCCGGGCTCCTAGATAACAGCGCCAGCGTCTCCATCGACAGCCGCCCCGTCATGCTGACCGCCAAGTACCGCTAGGCCAGAGAAGCAGCCGGCGCCCTCCGCAGAAGTGCCGCCTGGACGTGGCAGCCTCGACCACGCCCCTTCACACCCCACCCCCACCCCAATAAACCTGCTTTTAGCTCTCACTGCTCTCCTGGAGTCTATTTTGGCTGAACAGGGTGGGGGGTGGCGGGAAATAATGGAGTTGGGAAGGACACTCAGAGTCATCTAGTCCACCACCCGGAATCGTCCCTGGCAGGCGGCCATCCATCCTCTGCTTAAAACCTTCCAAGGAAGGAGAGTCCACCACCTCCCGGGAGTGTCCCTTCCACGGGAGAATATCTCTATAGCAGGGGAGCTTGCAGGCCTGGAGGGGCCCAGGATGGCAGGAAACACCATTTTGCTTCTTGAGAAGGGCTTCCTTTGAGCCGGCAATGCCCAGGACCCAGGCTGGAGGCTCATCAGGAGAGGAGACAAGGATTCTCATTGGCCTCTTTTAAAATAAATAAATAAATTTTTATTAATTTTTCATTAATACCATCTCGATTGATAACATATCAAATCTTGCCATGTCATATCCAAAACAACAACAACAACAATCCAATTAAACATTTCAATCCCCCCCACCTGCTTTTAGGTCTCACTGCTCTCCCGGATTCTCCTTAAGTGGGCAAATCACAGAATTGTAGAGTTGGTTGGGAAACTCAGAGTCATCTAGTCCAACCCCCTGCAATGCAGGAATCTGAACCAAATCGTCCCTGACAGGTGGCCATCCATCCTCTGCTTAAAACCTCGTGGGAGTGTCCCTTCCAAGGTAGAATAGCTCTACAGCAGGGGACCTGCAGTTTGGAGTAGCATTCTCTGACTATGTGCAGAGTACATTATTGACACTTTTGATTAATTCCTGTGAACCTCCGTCCTGGATCAGGATAAAAGAATCCACATCAAAGGGTTAAATCTCCAGGTAGCCTTAAGCTCCAATACCTGCTGTTGAATAAATTAACCATCAGGCTGGCATGCAATGTTTGCCTCATGCCTCCAGAGTTTTGCATGGACAAATTACATATTTTTTCTTATGCAACTATCCCTCCACCTCCTCCTGTGTCCCTTTTTTCAACATGATTATAGGTTTATTTTGTTGTTTCCTCGGTTCTGGAAACTTCTGTTAACAATCCTGCTGTTAGTTAATCTTGCTGTTAGTTAATTTGCTGAAAATTGCCAGAGCTACTCCAGTATTCATGGCTGCTGCTACTTTTACGGCTCCTGCCTGACCAACAAGCATCTTGGGACGGAGGCAATAAGCAGATTGTGCTATAAATGACAGGTTGTAATACTGGAACTGAGGGCCTACGAATGAAGTGGATGGACAGAAGTTTCAGAACGGGGATGGGGCCTGAACGCCCTAAGAAAAAAGGGACATTCCAGAATCAAATAGGAAACCAGGATGGCTTCTGTAAATCTGCTGTTGTCCCTAGAGAATTGGAGGATCTGGTGTCTTAGAAATATATTTATGATAATCCAGCCTGGTTCTCCCATTATTTAATCTCACCTATTAGACTGGTCTGAATTACAGATTGGCTAAGGGTTCTTTTTTCTTTTCATGTTCCAAGTTGTTGTTTGAAGTCTGTTCCTCTGTTGATTTCAACAAACCTATTATGTTGTGTGTATTTTTATGTTGGCTGAACTAAATGTCCAGCCTCAGGCTCAATATGTTACCTTTGGGGTGTTTGGCAAGATGGGTATTAATCAGATGACTTTGAGCAAGTGGAGGGAATGGGTGAAAACGAAGAGTCACTGTGTGTTGAGGGTGCTAAGTTGGAGGCAGGAGGAAGCCCTCCAGACATTCCTGTGAAGAACTCCAGGGGCTTTACCAGGGCCTTGGCTGTGGACTTCAACCAATGTTTTCTTTCCTGTGTTCACCAAAGCAGGTGGGTATTATAGGTGTGGCACAGTGGGTGCACACCGCTAGAAGGCAGAAACGTGAGTGGCATCAGAATCCCTGGGTTAACTTAATCAGAAGTTAAGGAGAAGAGGGGCGAGTGTGGCCTTGCAGGCAAGAAGGCACATTAAGAAGAAACCCCACAGTCATCTAGTCCAGGCCTCTGCAATGCAGGAATCTCAGCTAAAGCATCCCTGACAAGTGGCCAGCCAACCTTTGCTTAAAACCCTCCCAGAGAGGAGAGTCCACCACCTCCCGAGAAAGTCTGTTTCAGAACAGCTGTATAGCAGGGCCTGGAGGGAGCCAATTATTAGGAGAGCACCGTTTTGCCCTTGGAGAAGGGCTCCGTGTTCGCTGGCAATACCAACACCCCAGGCTGGAGGTTCTTCAGGAGAGGAGACAAGAATTCCCACTGGTTTCAATGCTCAGTGGATTTGCCCCCAAGACCAAGCTGTTCAGCATTGAAAGCACACAGCACCAACTTGGCCACACCCACTCTATACATTTAAAACACTATGGGCAGCCACAACTTCCCCAAAATAATCCTGGGAACTGTAGTTGGGCGTTGAGAGTTGTTAGGAGACCCCTATTTCCCTCCCAGAGCTACCATACCAAGAGTGGTTTAACAACCAATCCCTTTTCTCAATACAGTGGTACCTCGGGTTAAGAACTTAATTCGTTCTGGAGGTCCGTTCTTAACCTGAAACTGTTCTTAACCTGAAGCACCACTTTAGCTAATGGGGCCTCCTGCTGCCACCGCACAATTTCTGTTCTCATCCTGAGGTAAAGTTCTTAACCCGATGTACTATTTCTGGGTTAGTGGAGTCTGTAACCTGAAGCGTCTGTAACCTGAAGCGTCTGTAACCCAAGGCACCACTGTAATAATTCCCAATCCTGTGGAAATTGTAGCCTAGTGAAGGGTCCCCTAGCACCTCTCACACCCTTATCAAACTACAGGATTATTTGGGGAAAAGCTACGACTGTTCAAGTGGTGGTGAGTGCTCTAGATGTATAGCCAGGATGTGGCCCTTGTTTAGCCATGCACAGAACTCAGGATAGTTCTCTCTTCTTTATCTGCTACACCAAGCAGTGGAAAGAAAGGCATGAGGATTGGGAGTGATAAAGACTCTGAGATGATGCTTACCCTGACTTGCTACTTCTGCTTGGGTGCCACGATCTGGCACATGAGCATAGCTCCCCAAAACAGGATGTCCCAGGCAGTTGATGGGTAGGTTCCACGGACGCCCTGGGTGGGTCACACAGAACCCCTGAGGTCCACGGACCACTGATTGGGAACCACTGGTTTAGAGAAAAGGCAAGGAAGGGGTGGCATGATCAGAATCTATAACATGATGCGTGGTGTGGGACAAGTTTTTCTCCCTTTATCGTCACACTATTATTTGTGGACAACCAGTGGAATTCTATTAGGTGGAACTGCTTGCAGAAATGTGCACCTTAAGCAAACAGGTGAACAAAAACACACATCAAAAATGCACATTTGAAAAGCTGACATATTTTGTGAGGGCTTTAAAATAAAATCACCAGCTGATGTACGAGTCTGGCGAACTGAACTCAGGATTGTAAAAAGGGGAAACTGAGAAATATCGGAATTGTCCCATTTGTTCCATCTTTCCACATACAGCCATTCTTTACCTTCAGGACCAAACTCCATCCTCTCTTGTGACCATCAGCTCTTGGGGTAAAGGTTTCAGAGTTCTTGCCTACAGTGGCTGCTGCTGTCAGTGCTTGGCAGCCTTGGAAGGTTTTAAGCCGAGGATGGATGGCCACCTGCCAGGGACGAGTTGGTTCAGATTCCTGCATTGCAGGGGTT